AACCTTGGTAAGAAAAATAAAATATTATTTTCACCACCATTTTTGTCATTATTCACCCAAGTTTACCTTTTCTTTCCCTGTAACTCAGCAACCTCCCCATCATCCAGGCACCAGGCAGAGCTACGGTTGTTAAATTTCTGACAGCTTTTTCATTATAAGCTCTGTTTTTCAAGAGGCAGGTTAACTAAGTGATTTTGATTTGTGCCAAGCTAAGATGTGGAATAGACACTTGAAAACCATTCCCTTGTTTTCATGAGATTTCATTTGAACTTATTTGTCCTGCTTGATCTAAATACACAAAGGGGAAAAAAAAAACACACCTTAAAATTCATGCTGTTTCTCATTCATGCATTGGTATAACTGAACAAAAGAATAGCAATTCTGTAATTGTGTCTTTTTTTAAATTCAACTCTTTGAAAAATTAACAATGAAAACTTTCATAGCACAAGGTTGTTATCTTACTGAGAAAAGTATTAACAGTCATTTGTTTTACATACATGAGATAATGGTAAGACCCCTCTATTTTATATAACATGACCACAAATGTTATTTGCATTTGGTGAAAGTGTGACATACTTATTTTAAAATAATGTCTCTCATCATAAAAAAGAACTTACATTTCTTCTGTAAGAAAACTTACAGAATGCAGATAAAAAAGAGAACGGTTTAAAATCAACTAACAAATAATAACATAGAGACTTTCAATCTCTTTCTAGGTCTAGTGCCTCTTCCTTCCTTGTAGTCTTAGAAGCTTCTTCTGGAAAGCATTTCCTGACTACCCTTTCCCCTCTTCCACATGGAGCTACCTCAGTGTCATTAGTTATACCTTGATTTTTCCATATTCTATCCATCCACTTCATATATAATTCCATACAGTCTGGCATCCGCCCCACTATTTTATTAAAATGTTTCTGTTGAAGTTTCCAGTAAGTCTCTTCATCATTATCCAAGGACCATTTTCTCTGCCTTCCTTGTTCTTGATGTCTACTGTGATACACTTTATAACTGAAAACCTCCTAACTCAGACACCATAGCACTACCTAATTTTCTTCTCTTTTACAACTAATCCCATCTCTTGCCTTCGCTTCTCTCATTCTCCCTTTAGTTTGCTCTATACATTTCTATTGCTTTCATTTGTAAATAGCGGAATAACCACCTGACAGTGACAGAAACTACAAAGATATTTGTGAATTATTTAACAGGAAGTCCAAAGGCTGGGGTCCAAGGGTTGGTTTGGTGGGTCAAACAGGAAGTCAAAAATCTAGGTTCTTTCCATCCTCTGTTCTTTGCCTGTGAGGAGTGTCTTGTCTCCTAGCCACCAGATGTTTAAGTAGCTCTAACAAGGCAGGAAGTTGAGATAAAAAGACCTTTCTGCTTCTATAGTTTTTGCCTTTAACCAGGAAAAATAACGTCCATCAGAAATTTCCTTACCTCTCATAGGCCAGAAATGGATCTTAGGCCCACTCTTGCATTGTTTAATAGAAAAGGGAAAGGACCGCCATGCTCAGGCCAAACGTGATTTACCCCTTGGTGAAATGCCCTGGCACAATGCCCCCAGATACAATCAGACTTAGGGTAGGAAGAAAGCCCTTGACCATGAAGTAGATCATGGGCTGCTCTGCTTGCCTATTAACTATGGCTGCTCCTTAAGACTTAGTCTTCTTCCCTCTGCAACTCAAATTCTCTGAGATTCCATTCATCTTATGCCCAGAAGGGGTTTTGAAAAACAACTGGGATGTAAAAATGGTGTATACACAAGAATCTCACTGTCCTAATAAATATATCATATTTCCCCAGGGAGACTCACATTTTTAAAATAAGTCTTCATAATTATTCTGCATGTGTGTGTGTGTCTTGAACCAAAGACCAAATCATGCGAATCTTTTCTGCAAAATTTACCTTCACCTTCTTTCTACTCACTATCCTCCTATTCTGGTAGCAATCTCTTGAAACCTTTACCATGATAGCAGAACTCTATGTGTTTCTCTTACCTTTCTCTTGCTTCCATGTGCTTGTTTCCTTTGGTTTATTTTTATTCAATGTCCTAACCTTTTTTCCTATTACCTACAATATAAACATGACTGCTAGAGTTTGAGTCCTTTGGCCAAACTTTTTTTTCTATCTAAACTGAATGATGTCTCCTTAATATGAGCTCTCTTCTTTCTAGTCTCTTCTATGAACTTGCATGTCGTTTGGTGTTCCTTCCAATACCTCATGTAGGCTGTGCTGTTGCCCTTAGCTGGAGAGTTTGACTTTGCCCCTCTTACACCATTTCAAACAGTGCTGAATTACCCAACAAGTGGGCCAAATAGGGGTTGAGAGGATCAGTAAGGTAAGTTACTTAATTCTTTGGTCAGAGTGGAGTTCACGGACCTACTCTGCATTGTTCCACCCTCCTTGAAGGCATTAAAGTACTTTATTTATGCTTGATTAAGTTATAATTCTTTCCATATCCTAGCCTTGCCATAACTGTCAAGGTCATTTTATAAGTGTAGGAACTACGTAAAATAACCTAGTTCTGTATAGCTGCATTGAATGCTCATTAAATATTTGATGATTTATTGATTTTTAAATAATTTAAACCACTTATACTATGTTTTTACTCATTCTTCCTTTACCTCCAACATCCTTTTTATTGCATTATCTACTATATACTACTAGGGTCAGGGTCAAGTTAAACGAGTCCCAGTAGGAGATGATAGGGTAGGTTACGTGTGTATTTATCCCCTCCTCAGGAGTGATCAATGCCTATCACTCGGCGATGACAGAAACAGAAGTTTAAATGAAGTCGTGTCAAATATCATAGAAATAATGACTTTGTCACAGCAATTTCTAATCATACCCATCTTATCCTTTTCCACAAAGAATAGATTTTGTTCTCATCGTGATTTCAGACTTTGAGGAAAACGAGTTCAGTGACTTAAGGTCAGACAGCACGATATCATGAAGATAAAAACTATGTGAAAATTTGGAGAGAAAAATGTGTATGTGACTGTTGTTTTTAGAAAGAAATGTTTAGCTATGGAGTTTTGAAGAAGAGAAAGTCAGTTTGCAAGCAAGTCAGCTTTATGTTTTTAAGCATTTCCATGGGTTAACGAGGTTGGATCTTATACTTGGGCCTCTTTTCAGTGGAGTAAGAGTGGAAGAATTGATCAAAAGAGGTAGGAGATGTACCTAACATGTGATGATAACAAACAGAATGACTTAAATTTCATGAGTCATTCTGGTCATTAACAGCCATCATCAGAAAAACATCAGCATGTGTGGCTTTATAAGGGCACCCCATACAACTGGATATTACCCTATAGTAATTTTTGAGTGGTGGCCTAAACACATTTGGGCGCAGAAGTGAGTAAGCAGCATCTTCTTCTTCTTCTTCTTCTTCTTCTTTTTTTCTTTTTTTTTGGTTTTAACTATCTTAGTAGTTGCAGAAGCTTTGGGTCTGCACACCAGTTTCTGCTTAGAGTTCATTAGCATAAGAAAGTCAATAAGAGATTAGTCTACCCTGAATTTTCATTTTTATTCCATTTCACAAAACTTGAGTGTAAGATGGGAAGAAAGTGAATAGATTCCCCAGCTGAGAATTCTGTTAACTTGGAAGAGAATGTTAAGCCCAGTGTGTGAGACTGGGGAGAGCCAAGGAAGAAGTCACTCTCCTGGCTCTCCACTATCTTCCTTCATGCAACCCACTGACACCTGGTCTCTCATTTTCCCATTGCTTCCTTGTTGTGTTTCTTCTCCTTAGCTTTCTTGTTCCTCCACACACTAGAATTTAAGCCTAAGGATTTCTGATACAAGATTTTGTAATATTTGAAGTTAAAAAGGGTGAAATTTATGAGTCCCAAGCCAAAAATTAAAACATATAATAAAAAAAAACAAAAAACAAAAAACGACTGGTGCCCGCGTGCACAAACTGTCTTTCGAAAATTAAAAAAAAAAACAAAGCCAAACAGAAATGAGACCATTAATTACAGCGATGATTGTGCTCTGAAAGTCAGGGGTTCCCCACATATTTATTTCTACGCGGGCTTTGTGTTTCAGTAGGTCACAAATTGTTTCCCCTATTTAGAGCAACAATTGGAATTGCTTGGTCCTTTAGGTCCACAAAAGCATAGTCTCATACCACATATGTTACTAACTTCAAAGACTTTGTCTTTCTAGATTACTTACTTGAGTCATTAAAGGGAACGTTTCGGATCGGTCTGAAGGATGTGAAGGGAGTGAGAACGCAGAACCGCTTCCTTTTCTCCCTTCTTCTTCTACCCAGTCGCGAGAGATCCAGTCCAGGTTTTGCCTTCGACTCTGCCTCTGAATTTCGGCTGTGCTCAGTGTAGCACGTTTCTCTCCCCTCCTTTCTCCTTCCCTCTAGCCTCCAGTGTCTGTCTCCGGGATTTCTCTCTTCCTATTTCAGGAGGACTCTCACAGGCTTCCTCAGCTTGTGTGAAGCCGAGGTTTGCCCTGGATCCCGTTTATCCCCAACACATACCTCCACGCACACGCGCCCCCAAGAACCCGCGCTCGCCCCGACACACACGCGCGCACACACACTCGCGCTCGCCGGTCCACCTCCCTCTCCGGGAGAGCCGGCGCGCGTTCCCACCTTCGCCGCACACTCGGGCGAGCCGAGCTCGCAGCGCTCTACGATTCTGCGGCTCGGAAGTCGGATCGCAGCTCTGAACCCCCATGGTGGCTTTTTAAACATTTCTTTGCCTCCGCTCGCTCGTTTTTATTGCACCGCTCCCGGTCTGGGGAACTAGAGGAGCGAGGCGGCTGCTTTCCCAGCCAGCCCTGGTTGGCTTGCCATCCTCCATTTGGCTTATAAAAGTTTGCTGAGCGCAGTCCAGAGGGCTGCGCTGCTCGTCCCCTCGGCTGGCAGAAGGGGGTGACGCTGGGCAGAGGCAAGGAGCGCGCCGCGGGCTCTGGCGGGCTTTCGGCTCGAGGGGCAAGGGGAAGAGCGCACGGGCCCTGGGGTTTACCGAGCTGGATTTGCACGCTGCACCATGCCTTCTTGGATCGGGGCTGTGATTCTTTCCCTCTCCGGGCTGCTGCTGTCCCTCCCGGCCGGGGCGGAGGTGAAGGCTCGGAGCTGCGGTGAGGTCCGCCAGGCGTACGGTGCCAAGGGATTCAGCCTGGCGGACATTCCCTACCAGGAGATCGCAGGTAAGCGCGGGCGCGCGGCCCGGCAGGCTGCAGCCCTGGGCGGCCGCAAGTCCCCCGGGCGGCTGGGCGCCCTCCTTCGCCCCCCTGTTGCTGAGTTGTTGGTGTTCACTTTCTGCCAGGGCTGGCTCTCCCGGACGCCGGCGGATGCTCGGGCGGCTGCTCCCGCGGGGAAGGTGTGCGTCTCCGCTGCCTCATTGTGTGCACACGCGGGAGCGCCCTCCTTCCCTCCCGCCTGCCCTCCCTCCGCTCCGGCGCCCGTGCGCGCCCTTCGCTGTGGGCTCGGACCCGGCGGGCTGGGGAGCCCGGGACACCCGGGGGGCGGCCGCGGCGCGAGGGCAGGTCGCCCAGCGGGGCGCCCACCCCGCGCCTCCCGCTCAGGCAAACTTGGAAGAACTGCGGCCACAGTTTGCCTAGCGCCACAGTCTGAGTGGCGCCTTCCCCACTCCCGCCCTCGCGCCGGCGGGGGCGGTGGAGAGACGCGGAGGGCTCCCCTCGCAGCTCGCTCCGCTCCGCTCTCTGGGTCCTTCCGGGAGGCAGAGCGCCCGGCGCCTGGGACGGGGGGGACCCCCGCCTTGGGGGTGGGGTGGGGGACCCGGCCTCCGGATGTCGGCAGTTCCGGGCTGGTTTGGGGAGTTCACCGGCTGCCAGTTTCGGGCTTGGGGCGGGCTTTCGCGTTACGGGCCCTCAAGTGCTTCCCCGATTGCGGTTGGTCACTCGCGGTTCGGGGGACACCCCCGGCCGCCGGCGCGGAGCCGGGACCTGAGCGCGATCTCGCCCGCCCGCCTGCGCTCAGAAGCTGCGCCGACTGAAGCGGGTGGCTCACGGCTGGGTTTGTCCCGGGGTCCCCGGACCCCGCGTGCCGGGCCACTAGCATTCCGGCCCCGAGAGCTCGAGAGCCCCCCACCCCCTTTCTCGGCGCCAGCGTGTGGGTAGCACTCGGTCTCTGGCAACTTGCGCAGCAGCCCGGGGGCGCGTTTTCCGGCTCTTAGCTCCAACCGAGGGGGAGCTTCTCTGGGGGCTCTGTGAATGGAACGTGTCGGGAGAGATAATCCTGTGGCTGCGAGCGAGCACTGCGAGCACTGCCGAGCGAGGCACCGGGAGGCCGGGAGATGCTGCGAGGGCTCGTGCTGCTCAAACCCGGCCGTTGGAGTCCTCGGTGACCTCCGATGGTCAAATCAAAACGCTGCATTTCCACCAGCCTCTCTGCATTTCGCCAAAGAGCTGGCCGCCGAGTGAAAACCTTTTTGCAGCTGTATCTTAAAACATCACAGTTTCGATATGTAATGCAATCGCTGTTTTATTACGGTTGAGCTACAAACTCCACAAGTGTAGGTTTTTACTTATACCGAAATGAACACATTTATAGAAATTTAGGCACTGGAAAAAAAAAAAAGCCCATACACACGGTCACCCCGCCGAGCATGATATACAGGGAGCCTTTTCCCAATTCTGAGCCAGACGTAGCCGGTCTCTGGTGAGTCGGAGGCGGAACCTGTGGTGAATTATAAGACCACTTTTCTACCCCTATCACTTCTTCTCCCTTTTCCAGAACTCCTTAATTTGTTAGTGAATAGAGAGCTACTGCCCCCACTGCTCCTTAAGTTTCTTAACTCTCCTCCCCCTTTGTCTACTGTTATTTCATTCTTTTTAATTAATTGATAAGGATCAGCTTTGCTTTTTTCTCCTCCCCAAATCTCAGGGAATTCAACTTTTAAAAGGTTTTATAGTATGGCTCTCTTCTTCTAGGAACTTTTCCTCCTGTAATCTGGGCTGTTTCAAATTGTATCTTTTAAACACAGATATTTCCCAGCATGATTTCAGATATGATATCTCAGAGAAGAAAATAGTTAAGTAATTTTAAATTGCTTCAGTACTCTTTAGTGGATTATGGGAACTCCAGGAGGCTACACTTCATCTTTAGTGTGATGCAAATCTCCTTAATATCAAAATAAAGGTTTTCAGTGTAAATAGTTTCTGTACTCATCATTTACTTTACTGAAAACATTTCCAGCGGTTAAAATAAATCCTTTATTTGATTTTTAACTACAGGTTGTTTTTTTCCCCCCCTTTCCCCTCCACCTCTTGACAATTACAGTGTTTCCTAATTAGCTGTTAAGTTCTAAAACATGGGCGCTTGTTTAAGTCACTTTCTAGGACTAAGGGCACTGTTGACTTTGTCAACCCTGGTGTGCTTTGATGCTGGTGGAAATGATCAAGATACAGGTCATTGCGGGGTCAGATGCACATCTGATAGGGAAGCAAATGAAGTAAAAGATAATTGTATACTAAATATATATATATATATATATATATACACGTATATATGTATATACACACACATTCCTATATATGTATGTATATGTATGCAATTTTTTAAAAAGTGAACTACTCAATGCTACACATTGTTGGAATAATTACTTAGGAAATCTGTCCTATTATTAAATGAAAACACTCTTTTGCTCTTCCCTAGTTCCTGAGACTATTTGCATTTCATTATCTGGTATATGGTGGCTATCTTTTCTTTAAACTCCCTTTTCATCCTTTGTGTTGTTTGGATTTTTAATGGTTTGCTTGAGAAATGACATATGCCATTTTTCTGCCAGGGAACATGAATTTAAAGGAACTGCTGTTCATAATTTAGATTCATGCGGGCTGTTTCTAATTGAAAGATATTTGCAGGTAGCTTGCCTGGTAAAATAACTGAGAAGTAATAAGGACATTATGTTTCATCATTACATTATTAAAGTTTTACTCAGAACTCACAATTGTGAAATAGTGTTGCCCTTTTCTATTCTAGGATAAAAGGGAGTTCTTCAAACTCAATAGATGAGGGGCTGTGATGGGTAATATATAAAGTTACACTCTCAGAGAGTGCTTGGGAGGCCTTTAAGGGGCAGGTTGCGCCATTAATCTTCACTCAATCCTGATCTTAAGCCATCCTAGGCAGATCAGATAGACTATCCGTCCTTGTTTGAAGGACCTCCAAAGAAGACCCATAAGCCTCTCTCAGCCATCCATTCTAGTACTTAGTAATTCTTGTGGTACCGAAATGTTTCCAGATAACTAGCCCAAAGCCTTCCCAGTTTGCTTGCATATTTTCTTCTGTCTTCTGGGAAGACATTGAGCAGTGGATCATCAAGTTCTCTGTTAGGAATGTTATTTTGACCAAAGGTAGGTATGAAACCTTCTAGTCTTTTCTTTGAGCATCCATAATATTATCTCATTTTCCAACCCAACTCATTTTGATGGCTCTAAACTTAGAAGAGAGCTCAACAACTGAAAAGAGTATCTACTTGAAAGACTAGGCAATTCAGAGAGTGCTGTTTTATGCTTACTGAGCCTCTACGCCTTGAGCTTTCTTGGAGCCATTAATTATAACTCCTTGGAGCTGACTAGTGGTGACTTATTGGCTTCCATGCCCGCTTTTTTTCATCAGTTATCTAATGCAGTTGTAGTTAACAATCCCTTATTTGCAAATTACTACGTGCCCAGCACCTGCTTAAAAACATTACCTGCTTCTAAAACATTAGACAATGTCTTATTGATGCCTTTTAATAATTTTGTAGATATCATCATAATCCCCATTTTATAGATGAAAAAACTGAGCAGCAGAGGGGCTGGAATGATTAACTTGCCCAGGGATGACTCAGCAAGAAAGTGGCGAAGCTAGAATTCCAATTCGGGCATTCTGACTCCAGGTACCTGAGTCCTAGACTTAATCCTGCCCCCTGCCATTCTGTATTTGTTGAATGAATGCGTGCAAAATCAATTCTTTCTTCATCTACTAGGTACATAACCTGGTATTATCAATCACCGTATGTATTCCCTCACAGTTTGTGCTGAATATTTTTCTATCTACTTGCAACATCTACAATTTTTTCAAAATCACTTTGAATTTGAAATTTGTGTTCTCAGGAACCAGCCATGCTACCATCACTAAATTGTTCATCTATCTATGTGTTTTCCTGATTTTTAAAAATTGTATCTCTGTAGCTATATAAAGGTGGAAACTAAAGAATATGTATTAGTATTTTTCAGTATACCAGGCCTACACGAATAATGGGTTAGTGCAACAAAGCTTGCTATAGGAAGTTATCATAAGGGTAGAGGGAGGAAGGAAGTTTATTTTCATAGATTAGGAAAAAATATAATTGTTTTCTCAGTATTTGTCCCTTTTTATGTCTCAGGTGTTTTGAGAGCTGGGCTACAGGTGGATATTACAGCCTTAAACTCTTTCCCATCTCTTGGATATGAATTTAGAGTATGTCAATGATTCTAAAAATCTATCCCAAAATCAAATTACAAAAATATTCTCTTATACTCTGCTGATATACTAGTGACTTTTGTCAGTCCTTCTTTATTGCTTTCAAATTTCAGTAATGCTTCATTTTGCCTGATCTTTGTCCAACAGTCTTTTTCTTTCTTTGGTGGGTTTCCCAGGGAAACTGTCCTCCCTCTGTTCCCCCAGCAAACTAACTTATTTAATACATTTGCCATTAACACAATTTTTTTTTTTCAATTGTCACATTAACGTAAACAGAAAAGCTGTGTTGGGTAAACTTTACTCTTTTATAGACATGTTAAATACCCTACTTTGAAATAAATTATTTAAGTTACATTTAACTGTCTGCTTCGTAGATTTCTGATTTCTTTGCCCTCTCCTCAGTTAGCTGATGTCTTTAAAATCCTTTTGAAGAACAGAGGGAGAGGTATAAATGAGTTAGCAAAACTTCAATGTTTTAAAATAATTTGTCGGGTCACTAGATTTCCAAAAGAATCACATTCATTCCAGGTATCAGAGCAATCTAAAATCTGGGCTATTAGGAGTGCCACTTGTTATACTCTTGATTTGGAAATTAATTTTAGAATGATCCTTGCAAACAAAGCTATCTTAGCTGATTTAATTAGCGGATAATATGTCATCATTGAGAACAAGAGTTCATTTGAGTTGACTGATATACTTTTTGACATAAAACTCACCTCTTTTAACTGTACCACAT